TTTATATTTTTATATTTTGTCTATTATTTTAAATTATATTTAGATTTCATATTTTGTAGATATGATTTAAATATTGATAAACGGTAGCTTAATTTTGGCTTCAGATGCGTTGAGTCTCTTTACCTAATCTGCAATATTAAATTCTCCAACTGCTTATAGCAGAGAAGAAATAAAATCTGCTGATGATAGTTTTTATTTTTTTTAAATACAGAAACATTTCATATATTCGTTGCGTCTAAATCTTGTCAGCCTGTTTAAAATAAATCTATTAAAATTTTCTATAAAACAGYTTATATATTTTAACAAAATTCTTTACAAATAAATATTTACAGAAATTTCCTTATTTTCTATTTTAATTTTTATTTTATTTTATTTTTTTTATAAAATAAGAACCTGCTATTATTAGAAAATATGGTTAATCAATTGATTGATGCTGCACCTTAAGCCCTCAAGATTTGTGTTTTATGATGGATAGCTTTAGAGTTTTGTATTTATCTTGATGCATATTTTTGGCACAGTGCCATCGCTGCCATCTTTATAGATTACTTTTGGATAGATAGTGTAGTCGAGAGAATGTGAGTGTCCTTGGACCCGGCTGCTCTCTCTTTCTCTCTCTAAGGATATGATGGCAACTGTGGCGGCCGTGGGCCGCGGGCTTCGGCGGCACGTTAATTATGGCACAAAAATGGCCCAAATTGTGTGCTGGCAAAATACAAAATGCTTAGCGGGCGACGCAGCGGTATCTGGCATCGGATGGAGGCGTGGCCCGGACGCGCTCATTGCAGGTTGTTGCCGGCGACGACGACGATGACGACGAATGAAAGAAAATGTAAAAACAAATTGAAAACTTTTCCACGATATAAATTTGCATTTATTTTGAGCGCTCTATGCTACGCTGCTCCCTTTTGTTCAACCGTCCTTTCTTCTTGTTGTTGTTGTTGTCTTTTGTACTCATTCACGAAAATTAAATGGGCATATTAGTTTACAATGTAGATGATGCCCATCTGGCTGTCTATCCGTCCGTAGGGGACTTGGTAGACATCTGTATACCCTCAAATTATAAAAGGTGAATATATTGCCCTGTAGGGGCGTGGCCAATCAGAAGCCGTGCTCGTTGGGGCATGAATGAGTATTCTGCAGTCGGTAATGCCCAGCAGCAGCTGAACTTGGACTGAGCCGCTTTCAGAGAATAGCTCCAGCTCTCCCTCTCTCTCTCACTCTCTCACTCTCATTTGACTCTAGTATTGGTGGACAGTGTTAGCATACCGGCACTCTATATACCTAAAATATATACAAATTGCTTAAATCGAAAAAGTTTTACTTCTTGTATATATAGATATATATAAATATATATAAACATGTGTGTGTGTGTGTGTGTGTGTGTGTGTTTGTGCGAAGGCAATAACTGAACGAAACTGTGCTAAGCTAAACTGTCCACCGAATGGAGAAATCCTGTGCCTCACAAGCGAAGCTACTCCACAATGCTCTGAATAGCAGCAACTGCCAAATATGGAAGGAGCTTCTGCAACATCAGCAGCAGCCGCAGCAGCAGCTGTTGTTGTCACATTGTTGTTGTAGTCGTTGTTGTTGTTGTTGCTGCCAGCTACCTTTTTGAATATTTATGAAAAATTGAAACGTTTTAGCGCGCGGCCTGGTGGCCCTTTGCCGGATTTGTTTCCCTTTTATATGTACTCTGTGCCCAAGCGAATGCAGCGAGTATGCTAAGCGTAAGGTTCGAAAGGACTTCTTAAGCCCAACGATTAAAATATAAAAATTAATAAT